GGAGGTGATAGTATCATAGCTTAAAATCAAGTCCTACTCTTGTATATTGTGGGTTTTGTGGGGAGCTGTGTGTGGGGAGAGGGTGGCTGGGGAGGGTTGTGGCTTGGGTAGAGGGGGAATGTTTGCCGACAGCCCCCCCTGCAGCAGGCAGAGCTACCCAGGCACTGTGCCCCTGCCACTCCTGGCCCCAGGCACTGGGTCACCAGCGCAGCCCCATGCTTCTACTGGCTGCCACTTCCCCCTGTCTGCCACTGTTGCCCTTCTGCCGCTTCCCTGCCCCCCACACTCGCTGCTCCAGCACCATGCCTCAGCTGCTCCTGCCATCCCCAGTGCTGAAGCAGACTGGTCAGTGGGTGGGGGGAGAACAGGGAAATGGCTGCCAGGGGAGCCAGCCCAACTCCACAGAGTCCCAGGTAGCCCCAGCTCTGCACTCCTGCCAGCCCGCTTTGGATCCTGCTGGTGTGGCCGTGTGCTCCCACCCGGCTCTTGTTGCGCTCTGGGTGCCCACTCGCTGCCCCTTCTCCCCTGCCCACTGCAGCCATTTACCCACTCCTCCCCTGCCTGCTGACTGGCCATCCCAGCTTCAGTGCCGGGGACAGCAGGAGCAGCTGGGGGGAGAGGGGGCAGGCTGTAGGCAAACCGTCTGCCTCCACCCAAGCCTGTCTCCCTCACCTCCCTCCTGGTGCAGTGCAGCCCAGCTCCACAGAGCCCTGGCAGACTGGCCCTACACTCCTGCCTGGCTGTTACTGTGCTGTGTGCGCCCACTCACTGCCCTGGGCCCTGTGCCACCTCCAGGAGTGTTTGGCTGCGATGTGGATCTTTCACTGCTGCTTGTGAGCGGCCCAGCGCAGTAGCAGTGGCTGGGTGCAACAGCCACGCTGGGCAGCTCACAAGTGGCAGCGAAGGATCTGCATTGCAGCCAAACACTCCCAGCAGCCATACCAAACACTGCCTGCTGGCAGTGAGGGGGGGCTACTTTCTTCTGCCGCAAGCAGTAGCTTGTGTGCAGCTGCTGCTGTTGTGAGCCCAGAGTCGGTGCAGGGCCCAGGCTGAGCAGCTGCAGCGTGGGACAAACTGGTGCTCAGCGCTGGAGAATTGCGGTGCCTCCCCCTCTGGCCGCCAGTGCTCCGTGGCACAGCCACTTGCAGCCCATGTGGGGCTGCCTGTGCCCGCTGTCCACTGGCAACAGTAACATGCCGGAGGCACACGACAGCCCCGGGTGGCTGCACCAGGAAGCACTGGCCATGAGGAGTGGGAGGGGCTGCTTTTCTCCCACACTGAGCACTAGTTTGTTCCCCGCTCTTGCTGTTCAGCCCAGGCAAGTGAGCATGGGGTCGGGGTTGCGTGTGCTCACCCTGCCTGTACCATAGGGCTGGGGGACTGGAGCAAGTGGGCACATGGAATCCAGCAACAGCCAGGCAGGAGCTCCGGACCTGTGCTAGTGTCACAGGGCCAGTGCCAGCAGGGCCCAGAGCCGGGCAGCAGGAGCGTTGGGTCCCAGCTGGCAGGGGCTGTATGGAGCCGGGCTGGATCCCCCTTCTCCCTGCTGGCACAGCCCAGCCCAGCTCCACAGACCCCTGCCGGCCTGCGCCTGGCACTGCTGCAACCCTACTCTGGGCCCCACTGGTGCTGGCCCCAGGACACCATGCAAGCCCTGCATGCCCACTTACTTCTACTCTCTCCCACCCCTGCTGTGGCTTTTCCCACTTTCCTGCCCACCCACCACCCACTTTGGCACCATGTGGCTCCCGGCTGCATGGCTGGACCATGGGGCTCAGCAGAAGCTGGCCTAGCTCTGAGGACTGGGGTGATCCCCACATTCCTCCCCTGCCTCCCCACCCACCTTCTTACCTGAATTTCCTGCTCTGGTGCAGGGAGGCAGGAGTGGCCCCAGGTCAGAAGCCTCTGCTAGGCAGGGGCTTCTGGCTGGGGGGCAGGGCTGGGTGGCCCTTGCTGTTACAGGAGCCTGCCGTGGTTTCCCCTGGGTCCTACTGCCCCTGGTTCCTGTCATCTTTGACAGGAGCCTGGGGCAGATCGATATAAATTTTCTACATTTTTAGGGGCCCAGATAGAATGGCCTGGCGGGCTGGATCTAGCTCGTGTGCTGTATTTTGCCTACTCCTGATCTAGTACATAGACTTCAGAAGGATTATATGTGCTTAAAATTAAGCATGGCAAATATTTTCACCAAGCCTGCAAACATTTGTTATGAGTACTCTTTAAGGCCAGGCACATTCTTTAAAATACAATCTTATCATGGAAAAAATAGCATGTGCCCATCCTGATATATAGAATGGAACATTGGTGTAACTCAGGTCACATTTAATACAGAAAATATTATTCTTACCATATTCTGGTACTAGACATTTTTTTAGAGTGAGTCAGAACGCAGATGGAATTGTGAATTATGTAAACTTGTGTAGGCATGTGGATGGGTTTGGAATGATACATGAAAATGGGGGTTTGAGGAAATATCCCTCTTTCATCTGGAAAGACTAATCACATGGTGGTTGTTTACTGAGTGGACAGATGATAGCTGCATTCCTACTAAAGCAACACAATGATAAAAGTGACTTATGAAACACAGCAAAATAACTTGCATATCTTTTTAGTTTATACAAATTATATACATATATATCTTTTAAGTTTATAAAGTCTGGACTTAGGTAACACATTTGAAACTAACATTAACAAAAGTGAATCATAGAATTGTAAAAAGTTAGGATTGAAAGGGATCTCAGGAGGTCATCTAGTGGCTCTCAATCTTTTTTGTACCAGGGCCCATTTGTAAATATTGGCCAATCCTGGTTCGGTTCCCCTCACTCCCAAACTGCTGCCCCCAGGCCCCAGCCCACCAGTGTGTAGGGGAGGGGGTGGGGGAATGTGGGGCAGAGGACCCCAAGCAGCCATTTGCAGGCTAGAGCCCTGACAGCCTGCAGGAATGCAGTCACAGTTTCCCATGTTTTTCTCCTTTAAAGGAGAGTCCATTTTTAAAGTTTATTGATCCATGTTTGAAGTTTGTTTGCGACCCTTTCATATATTCTTGCGACCCACAGGTTGAGAAATGATCTAGTCCAACCCTTGCTCCAAGCAGGACCATGCCTAACCATATTATCTCAGCCAAGGTTTTGTCTAGCCAGGTCTTAAAAACCTCCAGGGATGGAGATTCCACAACCTCTTTGGGTAACCTGTTCCACAGTGCTTTACTACCCTCCTAATGAAAGAGAGGGATAATCTCTAACCTAAACTTCCTTTGCTGCAACTTGAGAACATTGTTCCTGGTTCTGCCACCAATGAAAACAGTCTTGCTCCATCCTCTTTGGAACCACCCTTCAGGTAGCTGAAAGCTTCTATTTAATCCCTGCTCAGTCTTCTCTTCTCCAGACTAAATAAGACCAGTTCCTTCAGCTTCTCCTCAGAAGTCATTTGCCCCATCCCCCTCACCATTTTTGTTGCCCTCTGCTGGACTCTCTCCAATGTGTCTACATCCTTTCTGTAGTGTGGGGCCCAAAACTGAACACAGTACTCCACATGTGGCCTCACCCATGCCAAAGAGAGGGGAAGAATCATTCCCCTTGATTTCCTGGCAATGCTCCTACTAATGCAGGCCAGTATGCTGTTAATCTTCTTTGCAATGAGGGCACACTGTTGACTCATATTCAGTTTATTGTGCACTGTAACCGCCAGGTCCTTTCCTGCAGCGTTGCTGCTTAGTTGGTCAGTACCCAGCCTGTACTGGTTCATGGGATTGCTCTGTCTTAAGTGCAGGACTTTGCACTTGTCTGTTTTGAACCTCATGAGATTTCTTTAGGTCCAGCCCTCCAATTTGTCAAAGTCTCTCTCAGTCCCAGCCCTACCCTCCAGCATATCCATTACTCACCCCAGCTTGGTGCCATCTGCAAACTTGCTGAGGGTGCACTCCATCCCATCTTTCAGGTCATTGATGAAGATACTGAACAAAACCAGCCCCAGGACTAATCCCTGGGGCACTCCACTTGATACCCTGGAGCACTAGATATTGAGCCATTGATTACTACCCTTTGAGCCCAATGATCCAGCTGGTTTTCTATCTACCTTGCAGTCCATTCTTCCAACCTATACTTCCTTAGCTTGTCTGCAAGAATGTTGTAGGAGACCATATCAAAAGCCTTGCTAAAGTCAAGGTATAACACATCCACTGATTTCCCCACATCCACGGAGCCAATCATCTCATCATAGAAAGCAATCAAGTTGGTCAGGCATGACTTGCCCTTGGTGAATCCATGTGGACTCTTCCTAATCACAACCTTCTCCAAGTGCTTAGAAATGGATTCCTTGAGGCATTGGCGATGTGTAGTGAGTGCATGTACACCCCCTGAGATTGGCTGGCACCCCCTCGCTTTGACACTGCCAGCAGCATCTGCAGGCAGTTGCCACCCACCCTGCTGCTGACACCCTTGCAGCCACCAACACCACTGCAGGGCACCTGTAGCCTTAGGAGCAAACTGTGGATCCAGTCCTTCCTTACACCATGCTCCAAGCCTCATGGTGTCACCCTATCATCACTCTTCTGCTGGAGCTTCGACTTTCTTGGCCTCTGCCCCTTTGCTGTAGGTGGGCCTTCTAGCCCAGGCTCGCTGTCTTGGGTCTGGCTTCTAAGCACCAGCTTCCATCTTGCCCTCTCAGGTGCTGTCCCCCTGGCCCGAGGCTCCATCCTACTCTGGGCACTGAGCCCCCTGGCTCCAAACTCTGCCCTGCTCTGGGCTTTGCTTGCTCATTCTGCCTTGATTCTCCAGCCAGACTCGAGATGAACATGTGCCCCTAATACACTAATGGGGCCTCCTAAAAACTAAACCCGACAGTCCTGACCCAAACCACTGGTCTGAACTGAAAGGTAAGCCCCCTGGCTTTAACAGAAACTCTCCCTTTTGGACCCTTCCACATGAAAG